GAGACCTTTTTCTGCAGAATAAATCTTTTTCCACCTCACACCCCTGGAGTGCTTGATTGTGCATGCCAGGACCAAATCCCACTGTTGTGGACAACATTCCTTGGCTCTAACAGGAATGGGAAGCAGTGGGTGAAGCCTTCCAGGGGTCCTTGCTTGATGACAATTATTATTAAAAGTAGGATCAAAGCGACAATCCAGAGATGCTTAATTCCCATCAATTTCTGTGAAATGTACAGTACAACCTCATGTTTGCTAAGAAATATCTCATGGAATTGTGTGTGTGTAGAACAGCAGCCTTGAGATATGAGTGGGATTGCAATGCCATGTTTTTCTGAAGAGTTATAAAAGGAATCACTATCCACATTAAATTCATCAGAAGAATTGCATAATATTGCTGCTTAATTTTACACACAAACACACACATGCATGCCTCCTTGGTATAAGTACAAATAACTAAGGCCTAACCTAAACTTCCTGATTCAACAGATGCTACTAATTCTGATGTAGCCAGCCTCTTCTTCTCCTGGAGCTCCTAATCTTTTAATAGCGATGTAGCAAGCAAAAACTCGGCAGGTGATTTTTTTCCCCAGCAGGCAAGTGGCGTGTAACTGTTACAGGCCCTACCTAAAAAAAGTTGACAACTTTGTCTTCCTCAATTATTCTGGAAATTCCTGTTTGATTTCAGTAAGACCACTGAAGAATAATGTATCTATATACAATATTTAGGATTGCAGCTTTAGTGTTAAAACAATTACTCTTTCTGAAGCCACTGGGAAATTCTAAATTGTACTTTGGAGTCAAAATTGCCCAAATATTAATAAAGTTTTGAAGTCCAAATCAAGCAGAGCTAATTGCTGGAATTCTTGTTTATTCTTCAGTCATTCACAATGTCTTAGGTCAACTGCATTCAGCTAGAAAGGCATGCCTAATACAGAATGAGGAGTCAATAACAGGCTATTTCCACTAGATTTAAATGGGTTCAGTCTTATATTGCTGATCCACCAGCTGAAGAACTGTATCACAAGTCTCTGACTTTAATTTTCATTTCATTTACCACGTTTGTATACCATCCAATGGCTGCAGCTCTCTGGATGGTTTACAGAGATGAAAACCCTAAAAATATAGTATATCATCATGTAAAAGCAATGTACAAACATAAAACAATTTTAAATAATCAACAGTAAATGCCAGTATCCATTACAAACTTTATCATATTCTGTCAAACACCTAGAAGCAGAGGAAGGTCTTAACCAGACACCAACAAGTTGGCAGTGATAGTGCCAGGCAGGCTGCACTGGGGAGAACACGCCATAATGGAGAGCGACCACCAAGAAGGCCCTCTCCCTGGCTGCCCTTCTCTAAGTCTCCTTAAGAGGAGACAATGGGAGTATCCATATATGCTACTGATAATCTGTATAATTCAATGTTTCCCAGCCTATGTTTGATTTAAAGATTTGTCTTCTGTGTTCTTGTTTATGTATATTTGTTTTATGCTCTTTACTGCCCTGAAATCTGATAGGACGAAGGGTGGTATAAAAGTTTCAAGAATATCTTCAACAGGCTAAATATGAGCCAACAATGCAATGCAGCTGCAAAAACAGCAAATGCTATTTCGGGCTGCATTACAAGAAATATTACTTCCAAATCACAAGTAGTAGTAGTTCAAGAAACAAAACAGCAAAAGGCGCTCTCCCATCGCACACATACAAACCCAATGAGGACCAAACATGTTGAGTAGCTACTGAATGGGGGGCGGAGTGGAAAATAGTGGTGGTGAAATAACATGAGCTCTCCTATGGGGCAGGGCCTCAGCAAGCGCAGTATGGGCAGGAGGTGAGCAGGGATGCAACATCTCCTCCACGCAGCCAAGGCGGCACCCACGAGTTATACCTACACATGGTGGTCCATTCAGGCAGGCTCCTTCTGTGCCTAAGGAATCCTCCCAGACTTTCCTGGACCATCGCCCTGGTGTAGCGGACCTTTATGACCTGGCGCAGCCCTTTCGCTTTGAGGGGAGGCACCGTACAGCTGTCTTCTTCGGGAGCTGCCTAATCCGAGCGTCTGCTCGATAAAGCATGAAAAAGAAGGTGGCTTTCTCAGTTCTACTCCATCACTGAACGCGGAGAGGGAAGAATCCCGCAGCAAGGCAGAGGAAGCCTCCAGAGCCCGCAGAGTGACGTGGCCAGGAGACCACATGAAAGACGACGACACGCAGGATCTCCCGAGCATGCGCAATGAGAGGAGGGGATGCTCGGACTTCACGAGCGTCTTGCTCCAGCGACAGCTGTCCGGAGCCCCCGCTCAGCTTCCTACGCATAGCAAGCCTGGAAATTTCCCGGAGTCAGTAAAATGCATAAAGAGGATAAGGATGGTTGATCGCCCCCAGAACGAGCTTTCCCCATTTGAGTCCCAGGCTAAGGCTGTGCTAGGATATCTGGGGGGCGGGGCGTGGAGGGGGGCCCAGCACACCACAGGGGCCTTGATTAAAAGACCAGGCTTGGCGAAGGGGGGCCACGGACTCCCCTGCCCTCCACTGCGATCGAAGGGGTTGCCTCTGCAGCAGCGGCGGAGTGGGATGCAGCGGGCGCGGGGAGGCCTTGGCAGGCGCCTGCACGGGCCTAGCGAGCAGCAGCTGCGTCGCCGCCCGCTCTCGCAGTTGCTTCCGAGGATTCCCCTTCGGTGGCAGGGATTCCTCAGCCCCCAGGCGCAGGGGGGCGGCGGGGGCGGGCGGGCTGAGTTGGGCTGCCCTGTCGATTCCGCGGCGCTCGCTCTGCAGTACTAGCCGAATTCCAGCGGAGGAGCCTCTCCAGCTCAGAGCTGCGAGCCGAGTCTCGGAGGACTGCGGGGGAAGCACTTGCAGAGGCAGCCGCGCAGGCTCAGTGAGATCTCACTGCGTCTCAAGTCCTCGCTTGGGCAGAAGCCAACAGAGTGGAACGGGGAGGGGGAGGTCCAACAGCGAAAACCTGGCAAGCGGCAGCCAACAGGGGCTTCTCCTTGGCACCGAGGAATCCCTGGGCTGCGCTGGGGAGCGGGGCGAGCCCCACCTGCTGCTGTCAGCCAGCCTGATCCGCAGTGCCAGCCAGCTGCAGAGGCGACGACTCTCCGCTGGCCCTGGACACCAGGGGGCAGCAGTGAGCCGCGAGACCCCGAGATTCCCTGCATTTCGCATCATCAGGAAATTCCCTTTGACGAGATGCCTCTGCAGCCTTCTGCAGTGTGTGCGCCCGGGGTGCTTGGCAGTGGCACGCTGCCTGCTTTGCTCTTTCCTCCAAGCCTTCCACCCCCCAATCCAGCCAAGTGGATTGCGATGCTTTACTGCTGTACGCAAGATCGGGGAAGGGGCAAAAATGGCAAAGCGCTGGTTCGGGGCGGGAGACAAAGAGCTCTCTCTCTCTCTCTCTCTCTCTCTCTCTCACTCACTCACTCACTCACTCACTCACAGAACTCGCCCAAGAAGGAAGGTTGTTTTGCCCCTCAGATATGCAAGGATCATAAACACTTTGCAGTTTCGAATCCGAAGTGGAGGAGGCTAGGAGGGGAAGACGATTCCTTACAGCAATGGAGGGGAGGAGGCGCAAAGGGCTAATGGCGTTGAACAGCTCAGCCTCTCATTCAAGCTCAGTTAACGGTACTGTCAGATCAGATGAGAATGGGCATACGATTCTTCAACATGAATCCGCCATGCCCATCCGCATACTAGCAGGAGCAAGGCACAGCAAGGCTAAGATGTTCGTCTCGCGGGCTAGTCTCCTCCCTGAGTGTATCAGCAGCAGTACCCGGTCTCTAAGCTTGTGATGCAACAGCAATACATCGAAACAATCTGAAAGGAATGGTTTAACTTGGAGTCCTGCGCTGAGCAGGCAGTTGGACCCGATGGTCCGACGGCCCCTACCAAGTACGCTATGATTCTATAAAACGAAACGGGCAAAGGCTGGGAGCAACTTACAGAAAGACGCAGTTAGCGCGGGGAGGGGGAGGTTGGGGGCAAGCAGAAAGACACCTTCCACTCATTCAACCCGCTTATACAAAATGGCATCTATTAATTCATTTGGAATAAGAGCCATTTCGTGGTCCCGAACGCAAGCAGACTCTCGCGAAGTTTTGAAAACAGTATCTTTCATTTCCTGGAATCAAAAAGAAAGGAGGAAAGTCAGCTTTTCACTTTCGATTGCCCTGATTGGGGCCTGAAAACGCAGTGAACCCGCTTTAGCAACGATCTCAAACCAGGATCGCAAGCGTGGGAATCTATTCCCAAGGGGAGATGCGTGCATTGCCCTCTGGCGGCGGGCCTGCTTATTGCACTTTGTTTGGGTCGGTTTGTTTGTGGCCCTTGCCCTGCGGCACTAGCACCGCCTTGTTGTTCTTGCGTGCTTCAATCCGGCGCGCGGGCAAGCCGGAGCGAGTGAGGGAATCCTCCTAGGCTCAGGCTCCGCAGTTTTTATGAGTGCCCGGCAGTGGTTGGCGGACGAGCGGGTACGATAGGGGCGGTTCTGCAGCGCTTGGTCCCACAGGGCAGCAGGGAGACCAAGGGCGGCTACTCTCTCCCTCCTCTCGCCGGTCTCTCCTCGCTGCTCACCCTCCCGCTTACCGGAATTGCCATATTAGGAGCAGGAAGACTCGCGCCGGAACAAGCCCTTATAAGGGCCTGCCCTTATATGGCCTCTGCGTCCGGGGGCTTCCGGCAAGCGCGGCTGAGGTTCACAAGTGGGGACCCCACGAGGGGGAGAATCGAGAAGCCTCTGGCTCAGAGCCACGCGCCAAGGGCCGGGGGCCAGGCGGGTCGCGGGTCCCGGTGCCCAGCTCGGCGGCGCCCCCCCTCTTTTCTGCAACACAGACCGGCTTCCCCCAGTGCCAGGCTCTGACGCCAGGCGGGGTCCTCTCTCCTGGCTGCCAAATAAGGGCTTCCTGCCTCCCATATATGGACATGTACGTCAGGAAAGAGGCGGGCTGCGGCCAATGAGATCCGATATATAGAGGCTGCTCCGGGGCGGGCGGGGAGCCGAGAGCTTCTAGCGAATAGAGCCAGGGGGAGCCCCGGGCCGGGAGGGTGGGGGAACGCAGCCGAGCGGAGCGCCTCCCGCGGGCAGAGCCGGGGGAACCCCAGGCCGGCCGTGGAGCCAGCGCCCACCCGGACGGCCGCCCGCGCCTCTGGCCCCACGGGCGGCAGCGCAGCCGACCTGTAGTATCCCCAGCAGGCAAAGCCCGCGTCCCCCCGGCGCACCCCCATGACCGCGGCCAAGGCCGAGATGCAGCTCCTGCCCTCGCTGCAGATGGCCGACCCCTTCTGCTCTTTCCCGCATTCGCCCCCCACCATGGACACCAACTACCCCAAGCTGGAGGAGATCATGCTGCTGGCCGGCGGGGGGCCGCAGTTCCTCAGCTCCGCCGGCGGCCCCGAGAACAGCGCCGGCGGCGCCGGCGGCGGCTTCAACCCCTCCGGCGAAAGCGGAGAGCAGTCCTTCGAGCACCTCGCCGCAGGTAGGCAGAGGCGCATCCCAGCGAGGGGTGGGGTGGAGGGAGCCGGCCGGCCGGGGGGATCCCACCCGAGAAACAGGTGACGTGCCTTCCGCCCTTGAGCAGGGGATTCCTCTGTCCTGAGCTGGAAGGGAGGGAGGGGGGATTCTCCGATGTGCGTCACCCTCTCTGGGCCGTGGGTTTTTGTAGCTGGAGCCGCGCCAGGCGCTGCAATATGTTGCGCTCGGTAATTCATTCGCTCTAGTGGCGGCGGCTCTGGATCGAGGGAAGATGGGGTAGGGGAGGGGCCGTTGGCAGATGTGGACCAGGGCGTGAGAGGTGCCCCGGGCACAGTACGCTGGGCTCGCGAGCTCTCCCCCCCCCCCCCCCCCCCGCGCGCCGTTCGGGCAGGTAGCAGCACCCATTGTGCAGAGGCCGATACTGCTTCCTGGGCTGGGCAGGCGATGGGCTGGAAGCGATCTTGGGACTCACCTTCGGTCGCTCTTCTCTCGGCAGACACTTTCCCCGAGATCTCTCTGAACAGCGAGAAATCCCTGGCGGAGACGAGCTACCCGAGCCAGACCACCCGCCTGCCGCCCATCACCTACACCGGCCGCTTCTCTCTGGAGCCAGCGACGAGTGGAGGCGGCAGCAACCCGCTGTGGCCAGAGCCCCTCTTCAGCCTGGTGAGCGGCCTGGTGGGCATGGCCACCTCGGCGACGACGTCTGCCCAGCCGTCGTCCGCCTCGCCGCCTATCTCGTCGTCCGCCTCGCCCAGCCCGGCCCTGAGCTGCTCCGTGCAGGCCAGCGATACCGGCCCAATCTACTCGGCAGCGCCCACCTTCCCCAACCCCGGTGGGGCCGAGATCTTCCCAGAGCCGTCCAGCCAGCCCTTCCCCAGCCTGCCGGGGGGCTCGCTGCAGTTCCCTCCGCCCGCCTACCCGACAGGCAAGAGCAACTTCCAGTTGCCCATCATCCCGGACTATCTGTTCCCGCAGCAGCAAAGCGAGGCCGGCCTGGGCTCTGCGGACCAGAAGCCCTTCCCGAGCCCTCAGCCGTCGCTCACGCCGCTCTCCACCATCAAAGCCTTCGCCACGCAGAACGGCGGCGGCGCCCAGCAAGAGCCTAAGAGCCTCGCGGGCGGCGGCGGCGGCGGCGGCGGAGGGGCGTACCAGGCGCAGCTGGTCAAGCCAAGCCGCATGCGGAAGTACCCCAACCGGCCCAGCAAGACGCCCCCCCACGAGCGGCCCTACGCCTGCCCCGTCGACTCCTGCGACCGGCGCTTCTCGCGCTCCGACGAGCTGACCCGCCACATCCGCATCCACACGGGGCAGAAGCCCTTCCAGTGCCGCATCTGCATGCGCAACTTCAGCCGGAGCGACCACCTCACCACGCACATCCGCACGCACACGGGCGAGAAGCCCTTCGCCTGCGACATCTGCGGCCGCAAGTTCGCGCGCAGCGACGAGCGGAAGCGCCACACCAAGATCCACCTGCGGCAGAAGGACAAGAAGGCCGACAAGGGCCCCGCGGCGGCCGCGCCCCCGCCGCCCCCCGCCGCCTCGCCTCTGGCCTCCTACTCCGCCTCGCCTGGGACAGCCTCCTATCCCTCTCCCGCCACCTCCTCTTTCCCCTCGCCGGCGCCCGCTTCGTACTCTTCGCCGGCCACGTCATACCCTTCCCCCGTGACGTCGTACTCTTCCCCCGTGACGTCACCCTTCCCCTCCTTCCCGTCGCCCTCCGTGGTCCCCAGCTACGCTTCCATCGCCTCGTCCACCTTCCAGAGCCAGGCGGCCACCCCCTTCCCTTCCCCCGGGGGCATCTCCAGCCCATTCGGCTCCCAAGTGACTTCCGCACTTTCCGACCTGGCCTCCACTTTCTCACCACGGACCATTGAGATCTGTTGAGAGGAGGGAGCTCGGACCACTTCGCAGCGGCAGCCCTTGTCCCGCATGCCAGGGGTGGATGGGGGCGGCTGCCGAATCTGCCCGCCGGCTCTTGCTCCAGCAGGCCTCGGCCTGGGGCTGGGCGACAGCAGAGCCTTGCAAGCCAGCCCATCTCCAGCTTCTCGGGACCCCTGGACTGTTCTTGCAACTTCAACTGCCTGAAAGACCACACACAGACTCCACGACATCAGAATCCCTCCACTTCTGTCCAAGTGCTGAATCTGCATGGACGATACCGATACCTTATTTCATGATCATCTCCCCCCAGAGCTGCGATTCATTAGGAAGCAAGAGACGGTGGACCCCGTGCATAGACAATATAATATTGTATATGTGCCATGGCTTTGCTTTCCTTCTGGGTTCTTCTTGACGTGAAAATCTCTTTGCCTATTCATATTGCATTATTTGGAGTACAAAGGGCCATTTTCTCTCTCTTTTGTAAATGGTAATTTTTGCTCTTTTAGTGACAAAGCTGTAATGAGTTCTACAACTTGTTTTGGGGGTGGGGAAGGGGGAGGTGGGGGGGAGCAAAAAGCAGCACTTAACTATGTATTTGAGCATGTCAAAAGAGTGTGTGATGTTCTTTGTAATTATCACCTTGAGGATGAAACACTCTCACATGGCAAAAAAGTTATTGTTGGGTTTTTGGTTTTCAAGTCCCAAGTCTTGGTGCCTTGTTGTGGAGCTTTGCTAACGTCATGCATTGGTGTGATCGGATGCGTCGCATCTAGCCTTAAGGTGACAGGGGAAGCGGAGGAGGGTCCGAGGCTCCGAGCCAGAAGAGGGAAGGAGCTGCACGATGGAATGTAAGCAAAACAAGAAAAAAAAAAGGCAAATAAAGCAAAACACCCCGAAATTCTCAAAAGTCTATTTTTGTTACAGAAGTGTAAAAATTTATAAATATATTCAGCAGTTGGAATGTCGTAGTTACCTACTGAGTAGGCGGCAATTTTTTGTATGTTATGAACATGCTGTTCATTATTTTTGTGGTTTTATTTTTGACTTTGTACTTGTGTTTGTTTAAACAAAAGTGACTGTTTGGCTTCTAAACACATTGAATGCGCTTTACTGCCAATGGGATATTTGGTGTACAATACCCTCTGGAAAAGTCAATAAAAATATCGAGAGAGCAGCAGTCCGGTTTCTTCCCCTTCCTTCTCTCTCCGTGGCTGGTGGGCTCGGCTCGGCTTACGGCAGCTCGCTGCACGGACCCCTTCTGGTCCTCGCTGCCTGGGAGACGCCGCTCGGAGCTGCCTTCTCCTCTTCGCCCTGCCCTTGACCTGCGGGGGTCCCAGCCCTGCCGCAGGGGGGAGGCTCGCGGCCCCGTGGACCACGGAGCCCCCCCATCACTCCGAGCCTGCACAGCTCCTGGATGATGAGGGCTGCGGCCCCTAAGCAAATGGGAGGAATCGGCCTGGGACGGGCGCTCCAGAGCGGGCCTCTGCCCTGCGCCCAGGCTGCGGGGTTCCTCCTCGAGCCTGGGGGAGAAAGTCCGGCTCTCCCTGACCCAGTTCCCTTGTCTGAGAATGCAGGCAATGTTTCTGCAAAGTTCAGATTAGTTTAAAGCCTAAAGCCGGAGGGGGCGTGTGTGTGGGGGGGACTACAGCCCCCGTCATCCCACACCACTGTTCATGCTGTCTGGGGCTAACGGGAGTTGGAGTCCAAGGTATTTGGGGCAGAGGGTCCCCCACCCTTCCAATAGGACCTCAGTGCGGCAGACCAGCCGCCAGACCAGCTCCTCTACTCCCGCCCAAGCAGAAGCCTCAGGTCCCAAAAATGGAGACGGGCGCTGTCCCCGGGCTCTGCCTAGAGGGACCGCAAGCTATGCTGGCTCCAGCGACCGGAGTCTAGGCACGTCTCCAAGGTGGCGAAGCACAGCCCTGGAGAGCCTTCGGGTTCTTCTCTCCCCACCACGTGCCCTCGCTCCCCGAGCAGCTGAATCCGCCAGCTCCTCAAACTGGTGGAACGACTGGACGAGGGTCGGGGGCCAGGGCCGAGCCCCCTCTCTCGCCTTGGAAATGCTACCGCCCCTCGGCTGGCGGCCTCCCGCGGAGGGGGAAAGGACAGCAAGGCGCTCTGCGCGCAGGTGGCGCTGGCGCAGAACGAGGAGGAGCTGGCCCCGGGTTTTCGGGGTGGCGCCCCCCCCCCCCATGTCCTCGGCCCTGAGCAGCTGGGAGTCACAAGTGCGCGGGCTCCCTCAGGTCGTTAGAAGCAGCCCTTCGCCACTGGGTAACATTTCCGCGCCCGCGCACCCCCCCCCCGTGTTCCTGTGCCCCATGTGGCACCCGTTCCCCTCTTGGTACCCTCCAGCTATGCCAGACCACAACTCTACGAGACCGCCAGCCGCCCACGGGCGTACCAGGTGGCGCAGGCTTCTGAGAGGGGAACCGCTCCGACGGGGGCGGGGAAGGGGGAGGCAGCTTAGCCCAGCATCCTCGTCCCAGCGCTTCGGCGTTACTCACAGCAAGTCCCAGGAGCAAGTCCCAGACCAAGGAAGGTCTTGCTCGGAGGGATCGTATCGCTGCTTTGGGGTTTGCTGACTGGATCTTTAACACAGAGGGCGACGGAGGGATGGTCATTCGATGCTGGCCCGGGCAGAGAGAGCATGGTGCAAATCTGTGCTCCTCGACGGCTTCAGTCAGTCTGAGAGAGCCACCCTTAAAATGGAACCAGTCAGCCCATCTGCGTGCTTCCTGTGCGCTCTCCCGCTCCCTTTCTTCTTTGCACACTTAAAGCACACTCTAAAGCTCAGGCGCGGTGGCACCAGAAACCCAAAGGAGAATCGGGGTTGCGAATTTATTCACCCCCTTTGATGGCTGTAAATATCTTCTCCAAATGGCTGAGGAACTGAACGTAGACGCTGCCCTGGTCGTTCCAAAGCCCCGATTCCTTTTGCTTGCTTCATTCTTGGCAAAGTGCCATTTTGCATCCTAACGCAGATGCACACACTGCCCCTGATTACTCAGAAGTCCCACAGTGTTCGGTGGGGTGAACTGCCTGGTAGGAAGAGCACAGGAGTTCAGCCTCGGATGGCAAACTCGGGATAGGGCTTACCCTCTGGTGAGTGTGCGTAGGGCAGGGGCGCTGGCCGAATGGTGCACGTCCCCCAACAAGCATCCTGTGAAGTGGTCGGTCAGTATCACTTCCATTTTACAGATGAGAAAAAGAGGGACTCGCCGTGAGTTCCGCACTGGCTTCCTGGGGCTTGGAGCGCGGGAGGGAGGGCTTGTTCCAGAGTGAATCGTTCTTCTAGGCTGTTAGGGAGAATCCCCCGCTGTTTCCTTTAGGTTTTATGAACTGCAAAAGCCATCTTTCCCCCCAGATACTCTCACTCTCTAGAGAGGAGACAGTCTCTAGGGTGGCCAACTCTCTTTTCCGGCAAGGTTCCTGTAGAGGACAGGCAGACCTTTCACAAGTGCGGAGTCCCCCAACGTGGAGATAAACAGGGATGGGGAAGCTTTCTGCCTGTTCCGCAGGTGTAAAAAAAGTTCTGTTTACCATTGTTCTATTGTTCTGGATCTTGTTTACCTGCCTGCGCAGAAAGATGAGGAAACTAACATGGGATGGGGCAGACAGCCTCGGATCCCCGGCCCCAAATCTGTATTTCGAAGTAGGGGGAGCTCCATCGCGAAGCACCTGCTTGGAAAGTAGCAGAAAGTGGGTGGGCGCGTCGAAGAGGACGCGGATTTCAGAAGCCCAGTTCCTCCTTTTTGAAATGTTGATCTGGGAGTCAACCACTCAGCCGGCCGAGTATGATCCTCCTGGATCCCAAATTCAGAATTCTTTCCCTTTCCCACTACCCTCCCCCTCAGCAACGGTCTCTTGACCGACCTCCCTGCAACTTTCTCTTCCAATGGGGGCAAAATCTATAATTCTGTCATTTTCTAACGGGCTTCTTCTTTAGGACAAGGCTCTCTTCTGGGAGAAGGACGTTGGATTGCCTCGATCCTGAGCTGGGAGAGGGTAGAATCTAATTCTGAAGCCCCTCTTTGTAGACCTTAGCCTTGTCCACCTGCCCCACCTACCGAGCGTTTTCCTTTTAGCTAGTAGGGTCCCCAGAAGACACAAACAGAGATGCAACAGGGCAAGCGATTCCTTAGATGAGGATGTGGTGACGGACAGAGGAGGCTAGTGACTCCTACGTAAGTGGGGCTTCTTATCCAGTGCAGCTTTTCTTAGGAGCCCCGTTGGCATAGGAGTCAAGAGCCTTCCAGGCTGATGGAAGGGATACTTCACCTAGACTTTTTGTGTGCGCGCGCGCGCGCGTGCACGCGGTAGGGCTCCTATGGAAATCTCTAGGGTTGTGGGAGAGGCGAAACACAAGGCACTTCGAGTTGCAGTCCTTCCCAAACGTATTCCCAAGTCAGTGACAATGAGAAGAATTCTCCTGGAAGGTTGGCTTCCAGGAGAAGATGCTGAAGTCAGCCTGAAGTCTCCACCTGCGACCTGGGAGAAGCAACACGTGTCGTTCCTTACGAGTGTGTTATGAAAGCGAACGGGCACTCTGGATTGCGGTAAGTGCATGCGAAAGAGTGCATGTGTGGTATCTGGAGAAGCCAGGGTGGGTTGGGTCCGGATTAGACATCGTTAGGGTACATCTGTTGAAATCAGTGGGACTTCAGTTCGTCATTCTTATGGGTCAGTGGTGCACTAGGTAATTTTCGACCTGGGACTTCAAGACTCTGCACAACTGTATGGTGCCAAGCAATCCTTCCAGTCATGACCAGGAGACGTCTGTGCCCCTCTAGGGCTCCCCCTCCCCCTCTCCGTTTGTATGTTTGGCACTGCGGGAAACCCCCCCCCCCCCCCAGAAACCCCGTTCTTACTCTCTGGGCTAGCGCGGCCACCTTGGTTCTAGCCTCTTTTCCTAGAAGCAGGGCAGGTGATCAGGTGATGCGTTCCCCAGCACCCCGTCTCCCCGGCAGGTAAAGGCTAGCCCCGACTGATTTCCTCCTGGGGCGGCGCGGGGCGTGGGGTGGAGAAGGAGCCACCCAGCTGCCCTCCCAGACTCAGAGAGCGGGGAGAGCCTGCAGAGCAGTCCAGACTCGAGCCCAGCGCTTGATGCCGAGGAGGGCAAGCAGGCTGCCTCTTGCGGACCCCAGACTCGGTGCCTGCCCGGCAAAGCTTTTCAGGAGGAGGAGCTTCCAGCCAGGCAGGTCGCTGAAGCGGGACTGCTCTTCTCGCAAGGGCCCCTGCCGTCTCTTAGCCTCCCTGCTCTTCCCTTGGCTTCTGGCTTTGTCCCTGTCTTCCCTCCTTTGCCAAATGATACCCACCATTCAGTTGTCTCGTCATCTACGCGCCGAATGGGCTACCATTAAGTCAAGCTAGCCTCCCTTACAAGAGCCCTGTAAGACTGGCCCGCAGTTAGCTCCTGGGGTGGGGCTGGAGGAGACGCCGCTGAGGCAAGGGCTTGGCTGTCTGAGCAGAGATCTGAATCAGGAATGACTGATGCGCGGGTGATGCTCTTACCCTTTGGCCACGGCGCCTCCGTGCAGCTCTGCCGCGGCTCTGTCCTGCTGGAGATGCTTGACTTGCGCCCTTTGGCTCCCCAGGTGCTTCTCCCCTTGAAGCCAATGCCAAACTGGCCAAACTGCTTGGGTGGGAGCAGAGGCACCGACATGCCGGTGGGCTCTGGTGGCGATCTGTTTGCCTGTGGGAAAAGGATGCCCGCCCTATTTGCCACTGCTGCAATTCAGTTCCTAGAGGGTTCAATCCTATGCAAGTTTAGACATGTTTAAATCCTACAACTCCCAGAATCCACCAACAAGTCAAGCTCTGTCAGGGACATGCTGGGACTCGTAGGACCTTTTCTGCGTAAACGTGCATAGGATTGCGTCCTCAAGCGCAGTAGGAAGCACGCGCGTGCGCGAGTATGAGAGAGAATGTGAGAATGTTCACACAAGCTGCATCTTAAACTAGCTTAATGCAGCGGATGGGGTTTCAAGCAATACATGGACGGTGTGTGTCTAGCGTTCAGTCCAATCCCATCGTATTCAATGGGACTTTCTCCCAAGTAAGCAGTGTACAGAATTGCTGCCATCTGCCATCTCACGTCCCGAATTCTTGCTTGCTTCGGCTGTACAGTAGGAAGGAGTGGAGTGGACGCGTCTTCCAGAAAAGCCCATTGCTGGCACT